CTAAATTATTAATACATAATATATTTATTATATATATGATAATAATAATATCATATTATATAAATATAATGAAATATTCAATATACCTTAATAAAATACAAATACAGATATGAAAAATTAAGTTGAAGTAATTTATTATTAAACTTAAATTAAGAATTAAGCCTTAGTTACATTGTAATGTAATTCAGAAGTTATAAACATTATTATTATATTTATCACTGCGTTCATAACTTCTTGATTAGTTGTCATTGAACGCACAAAATCATAAATTGTTTTTATGTGTCTTATATTAAGATATTTCATAATTTCTTTATGCAGCTTTCTCTTTTGTTCTGGAGTAGTTTCATATAGAAGAATATGTATAGCAGACTTAAATTTTCCATTTGATTTATAACCTACTACACAACTGCTGACTACACCACCTAAAAATAAACTACTTAGTATTTATAACCTAAATAAATTTATAACTTTATAAACTATATAAATTAATATTAAATTAAAATTTGTAATTTAAGCTGCTATTACCAATTGTAAGACCTACAGGTCCAGCAAGAACACCACAAGCAGCAGTTGCTAACCCAACTACCATACCGTATTTCAGTGCAGTAGAAGAATTAATTTTTAGTTGTTTAACACAATCAAGATTAGAAAGTTCTGTTAATACATTTTCCTGTGTTAAAGACATAACTGTTTGATAAAAATTCCAAAAAATGTTAATAACTTGTAGCAACGTTTTGACTTCGTAATATTACTATAATATATAAATTGAGGAATCACCGTAACATTATAATTATTTTCATGAAGTCGTAACCGTAAACTTAAAGTCTCTAAGCAGTCTAGGGTATTTTATTATAGCTTATCGAATACCAGATGACGCTGAATATTTGTTAAGTTTGAGTGGAGTTTTCACTATCTGTATTCATAATTCAAGGTTCCAATTCCTTTTCGTGTGTGAGAGGCGTAGTTGAAGGTATGTTGAATTATAAATTTTCAAAAATTATCCCAAATTGATGATAGTTTCGACATACTTTCATTGATTTAGATGTAATAATATTTATGAACGCGTTTATGCATTTGTTTCTATATATTCTACCGTTTTGATGCAATGTGCATTGAATAAAACAAAACTGAACGCATGGCACGTTGCAATAATGTTGCTATATGTTACTTAATGAAGCTGCATTGGTAAAACAATATCATTGTTTCTTCTTTTTAATATTATTATATAATATTTTACTTATAATACTATGTAATTAAAATACTGGTATGATATAATTAATATTTACTATAGTACATTGCATTCAGATGTAAAGTGCAGTTATTAACTGAGTATGCATCATTTTGCTTAGATTTCAATATATTGTAAAATATGTATATAATAATGTTCACATAAGTTTAATTTTATTAAATATGCGAACATTGAAATAGATTCAGTATATGCCTATTGAATATAAATAACTTATAAAATTATAGTGTATTTGTTTAAATACAATAAAATTTATAAAGTTGGAAAATAGGTAAGTATATTTAATTTTCTTAAATTTCTTATTTTATGTAATAATCAGTATGTATATAAGTTGATTGAAATGATGTATAAATAGAAACTGTTAAATATTTAGAAACAGTTTCTGTAATTCTAATATACTTAACAGGTTTTTATACAAAGCGCTTTGTAATTACACTTTACAGATCAACTTTTCTCATTTTCAGAATTTTGTAATTAAAGGAATTATTCATTTTGTGAGGACGAACATCATTTATAATGCCACAAAATGAATATATTGAAAGGCACCGTAAATTGTACGGTCGCCGATTAGATTATGAAGAAAGGAAAAGGAAAAGAGAAGCTAGAGAACCTCATAAACGAGCTGAACGTGCTCGTACTTTACGTGGCATAAAAGCAAAAATATTTAATAAAGAACGACGAAATGAAAAGATTCAAATGAAAAAGAAAATTAAATCTCATATGGAGGAAAAGGTGAAGAAAGATTCCAATAGCATGTCAGATGGTGCATTACCGGTATACCTGTTAGATCGTGATATTAAGAAAGATGCCAAAGTATTATCAAATATGATAAAACAGAAACGTAAAGAAAAAGTTGGCAAATGGGATGTTCCAATTCCTAAAGTTAAAACACAATCAGAATCTGAAGTTTTCAAAATAATGAGAAGTGGAAAAACCAAACGTAAATCATGGAAAAGAATGGTGACAAAAGTAACATTTGTCGGTGAAAATTTCACAAGAAAACCACCAAAATTTGAAAGATTCATTAGACCAATGGCATTACGATTTAAAAAAGCACATGTAACACATCCTGAATTAAAAGCTACATTTCATGTACCAATCATTGGGGTAAAGAAAAATCCGTCTTCAACTATGTATACAAACTTAGGCGTTATAACCAAAGGAACAATCATAGAAGTAAATATTTCAGAATTGGGATTGGTAACGCAGTCTGGAAAAGTGGTTTGGGGAAAATATGCCCAAGTGACAAATAATCCTGAAAACGATGGTTGCATTAATGCTGTATTGCTTGTGTAAAATAATATTAATTAGATTATTTATACTAATGGAAAGACATTTATAATAAAAACTACATTTGGCCATAAACATTTTGTCTAATTATTTCCTTAAACATTTAAAAGAAGACAACAGAAGTAGTACATACAATATCGTGTATATTAGTATCTATTTCCTTTGTGAAAAATTTTTGTTTAAAGATTATATAAAGGTACATAACTTTTCTTTCTTTTTTTTTCAGTCATACATGCCAGTGATTTCAACATGCAGATTTTCGTAAAAACACTCACTGGGAAGACCATCACCCTAGAGGTTGAGGCTTCAGATACCATCGAAAATGTTAAAGCTAAAATTCAAGATAAAGAAGGTAATAATGTAAAATATTATTTGCAGTATTTATATGTACTAATGAGAAAATCATTACAGGCATTCCACCAGATCAGCAAAGACTGATCTTTGCAGGGAAACAACTGGAAGATGGCAGAACACTTTCGGATTATAATATACAAAAAGAATCTACTTTGCATTTGGTCTTGCGTTTACGAGGTGGAGCTAAGAAACGCAAGAAGAAGAATTACTCAACTCCTAAAAAAATTAAGCATAAAAAGAAGAAGGTTAAGCTTGCTGTACTAAAATTCTATAAGGTATATAAATTCTATTCGTAAATCTAATTTTACAAAAATAATATTTAGATATATAAATAGCACTAATAATGAAAAATTATTATACAAAATGATAGCTAAAAAAAGAATAGGCAAAGAATACAAACAATAACAAAAGGAGTAGTATATGTAAAGATATAATGCTATATTATTTTGTTTAAATTTGAAAAACGTTCTATTATTCAGGTGGATGAAAATGGAAAAATTCATCGATTAAGGAGAGAATGCCCGACAGAACAATGCGGTGCAGGAGTTTTTATGGCAGCAATGGAAGATCGTCATTACTGTGGAAAATGCGGTTACACGCTTGTATTTAACAAACCAGAAGACAAATGAGTTGAATACTTGTATCTTCATTTAATTAAAAAGTTTATACAAAAATAAATATGTTACTTATAATTTTGTATACCTGTCTGTTAATTTAAATTCTTTTTGTAGATGATTTAAATGTTCTTACAAATTTTAATTAAAAATGGTCAGTGGGAACTGAATTATATTAAACAATAATATATACGGTTTTAAAAATTTATTTATTTTCCCTTTACAATAGACTAGTATACATTATCTATACACATACACAAATATACATGCCTGTATTTATACATGTATGTATGCACTATGAATGTAAGGTCAACATTAACGGAGATTTGATAAATTTAATATCTTATAAAAAAAAGAAATTCTAACACTATTTATCTTCAAAATAATAGACACAAGTTTTTAAATTACATTATCTATATGTTGAATGTTTTGTATGCATATTGCAGCATACAATTTAGAGCTCAAGGAATCAGCATCACAGCGCGTTTCTGTGCTTCGTTATAAATTATATACAAGTATAACGAACATTAAGAATACCCTTATAATTAAGAAAATGTAAACTTTATTACAACGGTACTTTTAATTAGGTATAATTACTTCATTGAAATACTTTACGCGTTATTACATTTCTGAATGGCTTTGCTGTTCCGTACGTGAATTAAAACTTTTTATACTTGGTTTTAAGACTGAAAACATTTTCTCTGTTGCAGTAGGATGAATACTCATTTGTAACTCCGTCAGTGATTCCTCTGTCTTTAAAATTAAATGACCAATTTTAGTTTGTTTATACAATGTGATATAACAAATAAAGTTACAGTATATAACATACTTGTCTAAGTAATTGTGCAGCAGTATGTAGTACTCTCTGCCATTTCCTCATTTCTACATTATGCAAACTTTCTTGCTGTTGTAATAAATGAATCCAATCTTCTTCAGTCTTTGGGGTATTTCTAAGAAAACAATAAAGTATAAATAATTTTTAGATGTATTTCATGATAAATATCGAAACACTTACTTTAACACATGTAAATCCATAATCGTATAAGCTGCAGCTTCTTCCAAACTCCAAAGTTTATAATATAATAGGCCATTAATAACCATCAAGCATAATACAGCAATCAAAAGCATTGAACTAATTATAATGTTTGAATCACCTCGAACTCCAGAAACTATACAATCAAGAATAATTTATAATTTATTACTGTATTATACGTACTTAAAATATAAAAGTACGATTTCACTTTATTATCCACGTACCAGCATTATCAGTAATATGTGGCAAATTTAATGGGTTTTGTAAGCTAGGAGATGTAAGATCTGCAGAATGTGTTTGTAAAGTGATACCAGTTCCTGTAACGCGACGTCTTCTCCTCGCTTTTCTTTTTAGCCCTCCGGTAGTAGTAAATTCTTCGCATTCAATAGTTAATGCTTTTATAAGGCTTGTAAAATATTCTTCTAATCCAACCCAAAAATTTTTCTCAATAACACCTATTTTTATCGGAAAGTATAATTAACTATCCATTTCAAACATGGAGTTTGTACTTTTTAATTCCTTACCTTTTACGATACCCCATACATTTTTCCTGTACTTTATTTGAGCATAAATTGTAAGATTTGTTTCATTTTCGGAGATACTGTTTATACAATAATGAATTTGTGCACTAAAAGAATCTGCATATGGAATTCCAGCATTTAGACTCTCTACATCAATAGCGTACAAGTAACCTGGCCTACTACATGGCAGCATTATCTAAAAGTATTTCGTTATAAAATTTAGAATAAACGGAATATTTATGAACTGAAATTTTCTTATAATATTTTATAATTTTTATAATCCATGTAATAAAAACAAATTACTTTTCAATATAATTACCTGAGTTTCTGTAATATGAGAGGTTCTTGGTCCAATAGCTTGAGACAGAGCTATTGTAAAAGATAAATTTCTAACCTTTTGACCTGTCTCTTCATTTTGTGTCCATGCTGCTTGTACAAAATCTAGATCATTGAAAACATTTGTACATATTGAATTCTATACTGTATTTCACGATTGACCTATCTACACATGCATTAGCGATTACAAAACTACTAGTCTTACCTGTAGTCTTACGAGCTGCTTGAAAATCTAAGAAGAACTTGGAATTTGTAAATAACAAAGTGAATAGGTGATCAATATGCACAGGAAATGTAGCTTTCCCAACCTGCCGTCCATCATGAGGGGAAGAACATACTATATTGCCTCGAATGCTTGGTTTCACTGGAATCATTAAAAATACAATAATACATATAAAATGAAATTTTCGATTTATTTTCTATAATTATATTTTCGTTCGTACAAATTAAAATAAATATTTCATATTTTTTAGTAATTCAAGAAAATATTAAAAATGCTTAATTTATTAAAAAAATTATCTTAATTAATTAATTGAAAAATAGAAATTATAAAGCATAAAACAATTTTAAAATATTTATTTTTTGGACATAAAAATAAATAGTTTTCAAAACTATAATTTTATCTAATAAACTCCTTATCGAACAAATCAAGATTGTTTTTTCAAATAATTGTATGTATTATACTATATCATAGCCTTTCTCTTTCTCTTTCACATATTGAATCCTTATTTTAATACTAATTATAAAATTTTATTTAAATCAATTGTTATATAATCAAGAATAAAATTAAGAAAATAAAATGAGAGTAGAAATTAAAGCGTGACTTCTAATAAATATACAACATGACTATTGATAAGGAGGGACTAATTCATAAGAATACAAAGTTAATTTAAAAAAGTAATATTTAGTACATACATCCATGTTTTTCAGCATCACTTTCTGTTGTATCACTAAAATCTGTCGGATCCAGAATAGGATCTGGTTGAGACCGATGTTCAGTTGTTCCAGCTGCCAAATTCTCCACATTACTGCTTTCAACCTTTATTACAATAAACAAAAAAGTTTATGAAGCAAAGTATGTAAGAATGTATTTAAAATCATAAAAACAGTATTTAGAGTGAAATGAAAATATATCATTTTTACTGTATTCTGACAGCTGTGCATTTTTATAATTATAAATTGTTCTTTATGTTTTAGATTACCTCAGAAAACGATTCAACAGATAATCTTGTTGATAACTTTTCATCGTCAGCTGGAGGCAATGGTGGGACATAATCTTCATCATCTGATGTTAAACCCAATTCATCTCCATAACAGGAATGAACGAGTTGCCACATTTCAGCTGAACTCATTGGCTAGAAAGTTAAACATGTTACGCTTAACATTATAATTTCAACATTATATTTCACAAGTCAAATAAAGATCTGCATACTATTTAATTCTGTGCATAATATAAAATATAATGTAATAATAGAATATACCGTTATAAAATCGGAGGCTTCATTTCCGAAATAAAAGCAATTAAATGTGGTTCGGTTTCCGACACGCACTTCTTAGTTACTAAATACATATATAGATATGTTTTTATAGTATTTTTCTAAGGTGTTTGAATTCTTGAATTTGTTTTGATAATATAACTTCACATATTGAAGAGCTTCACTGAATTGAAAGGACAAACATAAGAAATTCAATAAAAACAGAAACAGTTATAGGTAACTAAAAGAGAAAATACTAGGAATAAGGTATCACAAAGTGACAAGAAAAGTCTAAAACATGCAAAATCTTCATGTTAAAAGAAATAAAAGAAACTCATAAAATTATAATGGAACTGAATTTCATTTCCTCAATATTTTATAATAAAACTATAAAACAAATGTAGATATATAATCCAAAAAAATCTGTGTTATAAGAAAAAAAGACAGATTACTATGGTAATCATAAGTTAGTAAGATTTAAAAGTATTTATCATCGGATAGTATTAATTTACAATTAAAACAAAAAATACTACTAAGAAATTAATAATTCAAAGTACATATT